TTTCAGCCCTTTGTGCACCACTGCTGTCTCTACTTATAAAATCACAACTAGCAGCTCAAAATAAGTAATTATTAAAATGCAGCATGTCTTTCTTCTCTCAACTCTCCTGGTTCAGTTACAGGAAGCAAAGTTTTTCATCTGCTTTCACATCTCTTCTGTGATCCCTCCAGCTGCATCCATGCCGCTAGCCACACCACTACCAAGAAAAAACTGTTCCATAATTTCCACTACATGTTCCTCAGTTTCCTTGACTTCTTGTCTGAGTCAGAGAGGCAGATCAATGGATTAGAAACGGACCCCTCAGTGCTAAGTACTCCACTTCAGTTTTTGCTCTGTTCAGGAAGGCTTTTCAATTGTGCTATGTAAACCACAAAATCTCTTCACTCAGGAGGCCTTGAAAAGGGAACAAGAAACTTGAAGATGGATCAAAATACAAAGAGTCCTAGCAGGTAGAAGTGGCTTGGGATGAAAGTAGGAGGATAAATCACAACTGCCTTCTGCTTCACCACTCAGAGAACAAAAAGAAGCAAAGGCAGTGAGATTTGCTGGTGCTTGACTATTGAGGCAGGTCAACACATACAAGGGAGCAATAAAATTCAGACATGCTAGAAAAGGGAGTTGAAGCAATTCACACAACGAAATGCAAAAGTTCTGTTTTGAAGACATAGGGGGTTTAATTTATTCTTCCTCTGAATTAGGAAAACATGAACCTCCCAAAGCCCCATGCTTCTGAGAATGTGCTGCCAGTGAGAACAGAGCTTGAGGTTTGGCTAGTCCTTCTGCAAATGTTTTTGTGTCCTTACAAGGGAAGCCTGCAGGTCTGCCTGTACCTAGCTTACAGAAACCCAGTCAGTTGGGCTTTGGCTTGAAGCCATGAAGTGGAAATGCAAGGAACTTAAGAGGTTTTTCTTGAAGATATCCTTGTTCATGATAATATCACTTCAGCTGCTGAGGATCTGACCTTTAACTGTCAATAATCCATTCCTTTGCAGGGGCAAGCTATAGGAGATCTACCTGTCATCAACCTAATATTACATTTCAGTTTTGTCAAATCGGGCACATATTTCAGGTCTTTCTGGAGAAAGTAGAAAGCATTCCTCCCTTTTTCTTGTTTCCAGGTGAAACAATTTGTCATACAGGAATGGGACTTTCAAGCTCTGCATCTCCTACAACCTTTTTATTTTCTTTTGGCACTTTGAACTTGGCTTTTCTCAATGAAATAAGATCAAAAATCCAGAGATGACCTCAAACAACAAAACCATGAGTCCATGATTTGATCCATCAGCCTCAGTTCTTTCTCAGTGTGGCTGTACATGGTATAAGCACTCAACTTACAGCCAGTATGGAAAGAAAGGAAAAGAAACCACACATAAGCTAGTGGAGGAGTCTAAGTATGGAGGGCAATGAAAAGTCAGGATTGGATATTGAGTTGAAAAATCAATAGGTACCTGAAGTCTTACCAATAGCCTAGGGGGGGGAAAGATGATTGAGAGGAAGAATACAGCATACCGGGAAAGGGCACTGGTCAGAGCAGGCTTTGCTTGTGTTAGTTAAATAGGAAACTCATAACTGAAGTGGCTTGGAAGCAGAGAAGCACACAGGTTTGTGAACAGAGATATTTGTCAAAGATAAATAGAAGAGGAAGTGCTGTGTTGTATTCACCAAGTGCCACTGAACAGCAGTGGGAGAGCAGAGATTTTTATTCTTCGTTAATAAATCTAAAGAAGTGATTTAAGAACAGTGTAAGAATCTAGCAAAGTGAAGCAACCTCAGGTGATCATGGGCAGCCCCTGGCATCCTTGCATAAAAGGAACAGTAGAAAACAGTCCAACAGAAATAATGGGGACGATAGAGGGAGCCAAATTAATTCACAAAAACGTTAAGCAAAATTGGGAGCATAGCTCTTCTAACGGAGAGGTTAGGAGTTCTCATTAAAGCTCACAGAATTCTTAGTGGGATAGAGTGCGGGGATACTACAAAGCTATTTGACCTAGTGTCAAGAACAAGCAAAGATGCAGCAGTAAGATAAGCTATGGCTGGACATTACAGGAATTCAGGGAGGAATGTCGGGATAGTGCAAGACAGAAATGCAACTCCCCTTACATGGCCAGGGAACAGAAAGTTTGCTGCATGGAAGCATCAGGCATTAAGTAACACTGCAGAGTTCTGTAACTAGCTCAAAGAAAAATGTGTCTGAGGATTTGTCACCCCAAGATTTCTCACGCAGAGCTATTGGTGGTTTATAGTGATCCCGTATGCTGACAAAATACTATCAGTTAGCCTGCACTCTTCTCCTCAGCAGTTACCCTATTGTAGCTGGAGCTACTGGTTTCATCCAGTGCAGGCAGATAGTACATGAGAGATCAGACATTGCCTCGCTCAAGATCAGGTCTTGGAGCTGTCATGCCTTGAAATAGATTCAGGGTTTCAGTATAACATACTGGTCTCCTGAGAACAATACAGTCAAAAGAGTTTTGGGGAAAACAGATGTAAATACCGATGCTTAGAAAGACAACCAATAAACCAATTTAACAGTGCACATTTTGGCAAAAATCTTGGTGGGGAAGGCCTAGGAAATCTATGCTGTGGGTTGAAATGTACAGCAAAGGGAATTTGCTGTGAATTCCTGTGCATAATGAATGATATAAGATGCTACCTCTAGCATCTTATCCTCTTTGCTGCTTCGTTTCTCAAGTGACCCTCACAGCCCCCCAAAGAGCAGAGCAGTTGTCATACCCAATCAACCCAGTGGCCTTCCTAATCCAGTCTCCTCACTTCAACAGTTTCTGCTCTTTAATGCATCAAAGAAAGGTGTGAGAAACCCCGTAGTGGACAATTATAAAATAACCTGCCCACGAGGGAAGTTTCTCCCTAATCCTTTGCCATCAGTTAGTGGAGATGTTGTGCCTTGAAGCCTGATGGTTTATATCCCTTCTAAAATTTATTTATACCCTGTCTAATGTGACCATGAATGTTTTCAGTATCTGTATAAATGTCTAATCCTTTTCTGAACCCTGCTAATCTCCCGGCCGCAATGAAGCCTCATGGTAACAAATGCCATGTGTTAATTACAGATGGTACAAATATTTCCTTGCACCATTTTAAATTTGCTTCCTTCCAGTTTCGCTGTGTATCCCTTGATCCTGCAATATGAAAAAGGGCGGTGAAATTAGAGCTCACTCATTCCTGCCAAACAGCACTGCTGTCTCTTGATTTGTTTCTTCTCTAAAGTAGCTGTTCCTACCCTCGGCCAAAGTTTTCCTGGGTCAGACTGTTTGGCAGCGGCCTAGGGCATGGCACAGAGCTTATGCTTTCACCTATTCTCTGTTGATGAGTTCATTTGGAAGGGCAGTAGGGAGAGGAAACTCTGAGAGTCTCAAAAGTACATGCTTGAGGTTGCAGACTCTGAAATATCAGACTGCTCTGCGTCAGCTGGTATTAGCTCAGCAGCAATATGATGACACTGACTGATGCCACTGGCCTTTCCCTCTTTGTTGCCTCGAAGTTGGAGACAGAGCAGGTGGTTTCCTCTGCAGTGTCGTTTCCCCTCAGCCGGATCCAGCCGATGTTCAGGCTGTTTCTGAAAGGGAAGGTCTCGCTCCTCCTCCCATCCCACCTCAGGCATTTCTCCGCTTCCTTGCATCTGTTCTGGTGGTCACCCAGCTGTGCCATTAGTCCCATCAGTTCTGGACTAATTGTCTGAGCAATGCGCATCTCTGTTCTGCTGTTCTGTGCTGACCCTGTGAATGCACAAACAACAGCCCATCACCCTCAGACATGTGGAGATGGCACTGGAAATAGCAACGGAATGTAAGGTGTGAAGGGGGGAGGCTAAAACTTAAGAAGTTAGCCAAATACAGGAAAGGAAAGGCTAGGAAAAGTGGGACAGGTATAAAAATGCCCTCAGCCAGATGAAGGTAGGAAGGAATTCCTAAACCGCGGTTAAACTCCACATTTATAATGGTTTCACTGGAGGTAAGACCCTAAGCTGCTACAGCTGTGCACCATTACAGTCAACTAGGTTGGAAAAGACCTTCAAGATCATCAAGTGCACCCATTACCCCAGGATGGCCAAGTACACCACTAAACCATGTCACTGAGGGCTTCGTCTACACATCTGTTGAACGCTTCCAGGGACAGCGATTCCCTCAGGAGCCAGCCGCAGCATCTCCACACCACACCATAAAGCTCGGGGAGCGGCCCAGCACCGTGGCTGAGGCAGCGTCCTGGCATCCGACAACCAGCCCTAGCGCCCTGGGGACCGGAGCAGGAGATCCGCCGTGGCGGGGTGAAGGGCTGAGACGGGTGACCCCTGAGGCGAGGAGCATGCCGCAGGCGGGGGGCGGCGGTTCCCCGGTCGGTAGGGACGTTCTCTAAGACCTCCCCGAGGAGCTCAGCCCGGCCCCCCCCCTTCCCGCCGCCTCGCACCGCCCAGGCGAGGCCGCGGTGCTGTTCAACCCGGCGCAGGGACCGAGACACGGCCCGGCCCCGCCCCGTCCCTCTGCCGGTGTCCCGCCCCGGTAGGCGTGCCAGGGCGGGCGCGGAGGGCCTGTTGTTGTGATGGGCGCCGGCTCCGCCCCCTCCTCGTGCACGGCCGCGCAGCCCCCACCCCGCCCTCACGCCTTTTGTCCACTCCCTGCGCCCCGCCCCTCCGGGTGTCCCGTTCTCTGGTCCCCCCCTTTCCCCCCCCCCGCCTCGCCCCATTCCGCCCCGGGCCCATCTGTTCCCGGCGGCGCGGCGGTTCCCCTGCAGGGCGCGGGCAGGCGGCGGAGGATGGGCCCTCGCAGCAGCGGCGGCGGTCGGCGGCAGCAGCGCCCCCGCCGGCCCTAGCGCCCCCGCGCCGGCGCCGAGCAGCCCCATGCGCGGTCGGCAGCGAGGGGGCAGCGCGGGGCCGCCGGGGGGCGGCCGCTGAGCGGCGTGGCGCCGGGGGGCGGGCGGAGCCGCAGCGCCGAGCGGCGGCGGCACGCAGCCGCCCGCGGAGTGAGGCAGCGAGTGAGTGAGCGGGCGGGCAGGCAGGCAGGCAGCCGGCCGGCGGCCGCAGGAGATGTGCCCGGAGGAGGACGGCGGCTGCGGCGGCGGCGGCGTGGCCGGCACCGGCGGCCCCGAGGCGGCGGTGGCTCTGGACGAGCTCCGCTCCTGGTGGGAAGTCCCGGCCATCGCGCACTTCTGCTCCCTCTTCCGTACCGCCTTTCGCCTGCCCGACTTCGAGATCGAGGTGAGAGCCCCGCGGACGCCGTTCCCGTGCAGGGTGCACGCCCCGGTGGGCAGCCGACGGGCGATCGCTTCGCGCGCCAGCCCTCGGGCTGTTACCGTGCCGCGGCTCCGTCCCCGCTGCGCTCCCGCTGCGCGGCGGCTCCCGCGCTCCGCTCCCCGGCCCCCCAGCCCCACTTTGCCCCGGTGAGCCGCTGGATCCCGGCGCGATGCAGCGCGGGTGCTCCCTTCCGCCCGCGGCAGATGCACCAACTTCCCCGTGTCCCTCCCGCGCGCGCTCGCAAACTTTCGGCGCGCCCGTCCCGGTGCGGTGGCGGCGGCGGCGGCGGTGGTGGGCAGAGTTGCCCCCAAGTCCCGGCTCCGGAGCCGGCCGGGCAGCCGCAGGCGGAGCGGGGCCGGCCGCCGCCGGGCCGCATTGTTCCTCCGGGCCGGTGTCCGCGCACAAAGGTGGCGGGAGGGGACGGGCTCGGCAGGGAGCCGGCGGCGGGTCCCCCGTGCCCAAAATGGTGGCGGCGAGAGGCGGGCCCGGCCCGGTGACCCCCACTATCCTCGGGGGTCCCCGCGGCTGTTCCTGAGGGTAGGGGGGGGTTCCCCAGCCCACACAGCCTGCGCTCAAGTTGGTCCCTTTTGTTGAAGCGGGGGTGTCGGTCCCCACCTGGCTGGTGCCGGTGCTGGTGGATGGGATGTGTGTGTATGGAGGGTCGCCGCCGAGGCGGGCGGCGGGAGGTGCAGTCATCCCGGCGTGCTGGGCTCCTCCGCGGGGCACCGCGCTGCGCGTTGTGCGGCTCCTCGGAGGCTCCGCTTGCAACTACGGTGCCTTCCTCACCGACCGATCGACCGCCTGTGCTCCCCGCGTAGGGCAAACTCTCGGCTTCCTCACTTTCGTGCCCATTTTTCCCGTGTGGGTTTTGGATTTTTTGGGGGGAAAGGGTGTAATTTTTTTCATTATTATTAATTCTTAGTTTCGTGCGCGTGGCTAATGCTCCGTAAATATTTTGTGCTCCGGCTACAAACATTACAAACGAAGTGTGTCCTGGTAAGAAATCTTTTGTGCTTGCTGTGAAAAGCCATTCTTGCCAGCGCGTTGGCAATAAACCCGGGTGAATAACGTGGCGGCGTGTGTTTGTATTTATTTTTTTTCTCTCTTTAAAGGCAGTAATTGCCCCGTGAACGCGAATTCCAAAGATGCTTAAAAGTTCAATGGGATGCGCGAAGCCCTAAAGAGCAAAACTCCTCGAGCAGGATGTGAATTTCTGAAGAGGGGGAATCCCTTCTGCGGTGCGAAATCTTGAGAGGGGATAAGGTCTCGCAATGATGCAACTTCTTGCGAAAGGGAACTCCCCTCCCCCTCCTATTGATGCCAAACCAGTAAAGGGGGAGGCTCCCCGGGCCCGGCAGCGCAGTCTTGAAGGAACCTGAATTTACAATGATAAAAGAGCCAAGGCACTAGCCTTTCACCTTTGGAGGCAATTAGCATCTGGCTTGCTTCACAAATGAAGTAAATGTGGGCTCCCCTTTGCTTCCCGGAGCACACTTAGGGTGGAGGTGGGAGTTAACATCACTCGGAACAAATGAAGTTGCTTTTTTGGGGAGGGGGGAAGGGATGCCCGGGGTGAGGAGGAGTGCATGCGGGTTGGTGCTGGGGGTGTTGCAGAGCACAGAAGCAGCACATAGAAAACGTTGCCCTCAAAACCACCTTGGTGCACATGGATGGCTTGGCAGGAACAGGCTTGGAAGGATGGTGTTGGTCAGAGGGACAGTGGGAATCAAGGTTAAAAGTGGGATGCTCCGAGGGGACAGATGTGCCTGTCAGATCTCAGTGTCTTCAGGCACATGGAGTACATCTCCATCCTTGGCACAGTGTGAAGGAGCCTGGTGCAGGTGGTTTCAAAACTCGCTGTTCCTTGAAGCTCACCATCTTGTTACCCATTGCATGGCTTAGTTGTTTCCATTTCACCGCTTGTTTTGGAGATATCTGGGAACGATTCTGTGCACAAAGAGCTTGCGCAAAACAGTTCATGGGGTGAAACCGGTGGCCAGTGATGGATCTTACTCCTTTTTTTCTAAGAGTACTGCTCTGTGGTTTGTACTTTATTTGGCTGCATAGGGAAGGTTCCTTCCTTCATGTTGTACCTAATAGTGCCAGTTCCCATTCTGGCTACATACAGGATGGGCTTTAAGTTTCAGGGGTGTCTGAATAAAATGGAGGTGGCTTTTCTAGGGGCTTATGGGAAGCTCTGGGACTCAAGACAAATAATGGGAGGAAATGAACCCCTTGCCAGCCATCAAAAATTGAAACTGTGCTCATGTACAAATGACATTTTCTTGCTTTAGCTTTGGTTATCATGGGGATGGGTGCTTGTGGCAAAGTGCAAGCTGTTTAAGAAGTTACTGCCCCTCATGGGTAACTTGGGGTGAGTAGCTGGGTCCATTTGGTGGCAGAGTAAAACAGGTGGTTTGAGTGAACCTGCTTCTCATGTGTGGAAGCAGAAATGGAGCCCTCAAATTCAGAGGGTGTCTGCGGGAGGATGGTCATGCCCAGGCTCCTGGAGCTTCACAGCAAGTGTCTGTCTGACTGCCCAGTATTGCTAAGGGATGGCCTTACTCTGGCTGCAGTTGGCTTTTGGAGGGTATCTTCTTTCTAGGAGGGCTGAGCGCCTCTCAAGTTAAATCCTAGTTTGGTGGCTTTTTCTTTCTTTCCTTTTTCTGATACTAATGCATCTCCAGTGGGGAGCCTGGTGCTAAACTCTTACAACATTGTTACAAGTGAAAGTTTTAAACAAACCTTAATTCTGCTTGTAATAAATATCCCCTTCTTGCTCTCTCCCTCCTTCCCTCCAGTTTAGCAGGCAGTGTGGTTAAGGTTTCACTGCCACAGTCTCTGTAGTTCCCAAACCAGAGAAAACCCGATCTTCCAGTATGTTTTAGTGTATTGTTGTGTTTTCTTTTTAAAGCTGTAGTTATTTACTTTTCTAAACCCCTTTCTCCCCCCCCCCCCCCCCGATATATTTTTCTTCTGGTGGGTCTGCCCATAGCTAGCAGGGAGGCTCTGCAGTGATAGGCCATCTGGACCCATCCTTCTTGCGCTGAGCAGATTCGCTAGTGGTATTTGAGAAGTTTTGGGCTTTAGTACAGAGAAGCAGCATGGAGCTCTCATTTTTTTCTTTTCAAATGCAAACCTTTCTCCCCCTACTTTTTGGCCCAAAAGAGAGTGAAGCTTCCAGATGCAGGGCTGCCATCAGCAGCTGGATGTCAGAAACCTGGGCAGCAGATGTTTTGTTTTTCTCATTGCTGGACCAGTGTGTAGCCAGAGACTGTGGGGAAGGGGTGTCCGAAACTGAAAGAAAGAAGCGTATCCATCACGCCGGACCCTGGGCATTGTTCGGGGAGGGGGTGGGCGCAGCCAGCCCCCATGCTGGCTCCAGCAGATGCAGGCGCCTGACAAGGCACAGGGCTCCTCTTTTCAAACCTCTGCCGCAGCATCACCCGGCGATGGGCTCAGGAGGGGTTCAGCTACCGCCAGCGGGTCAAAAGTTCAGTGGGCCAGGAGCGGGTGCTCTGGGACATGTTCGGCTTCACGCTGTGATCTCACGTGCATCTGTGAGGATGGCAGAGAGCGCTTCTGCCTTCTGGGGTAGGTCTTGTCTTTTTTTATCCTCCTCCCCTTTTAAATGGCTGCCTTGTTGGCCATCTGCTGTATAAAACTTCCACGCCACTTCAAAAGTGGGCTTTTAGTTGTGTTGGCTCGGATGTTGTGGCTTCTTTCTTGATGGTCTGTAAAATCTGCATCGAGTGGGTTTGTCCTTCCCTGCTCTAACAGTACTCCAGCAGGAGGAGGTCTGGCTGTACGGGACACATGCATCATTTTTTTGGAGGCATTGCCTTGATGGACAGAAAGGATGCTTTCCATAGTCAAGTTAGTGCAGGTGATGATAGGGAGTGATTTGTTTCCCTCTTCGAGTCTCGACTGTAATACGGGACACCTCTCGTGACAAAGTGTCTCCTGGCCGTGTGCCCTCCCCTTTGCAACTGAAATATCTTCTTGGCAGCTGTAGGGATTGTTTGCATCGAAAATATTAGGGGAATATTTAACATTTTCAACCGTATTTCAGCGCAACTTGAAAACACTGGACAGAAGCCAGCGTGGCGCGGCCACCCAGCTCTTTGGCATGTGCTCCCAGGAGCTGTGGGCTAAAACATTTAGGAACTTCTGCCTGGGTAGGTCGAGGGGAGGTGACTTTCCAGAGCGCGCTTGAAAATAATCAAAACGTTGTTAACTTAGTTTATTTGGAAAAGGGGGCAAAGCCACATTACACAGGGAAAACATAAATCTTTTCCTGTGGTTTTTAAAAGCGCCTTTGGGCAAATTGCCTCTGCTGTTAACTTCACTATGGCTTTAAGATGCTTTTCCTTGCCTCTTGCCCCTTCCTAGCACTTCGAGCTCTGGCTCTACCTTTAGGTACATTCCTCTGGCTCCCAGGCAGGGCACCGCTGCTCCTGCGCACCTTTTTCCTCCTATAGTGTGGTATCTATCCTGCTGGTTCTTGAACAGGCTCTTTCTGTCAGGATTATGATGTGGCTGTTACAAAATCAGCAACTGCTACTGCTCCTGTGGGTCTCCCAGGAGGAGGAAGAGTGTGGAGGGAGGGAGAGCTGTGCTGTGGCCATCTGAAGGAGAGAGCAAAGAACAGGGTTTCTTCTATCTGTGCAAACCAGATACAGTTTTAAAAGCAAAAGTAGAGTTTTTTAACATGCTAAACTCTAAATATGTTAGAATTTTTCCTAGTGTGGACGGATGGCTGAGCACGCTTTGACCTCCCCTGTCCTGTCATGTCTGTTCCTGCTGAAATTACTCTGGAGCCCCTTGCTGTGTGCCATCCAGGTTCATCCCTTGTGATCCATGACACCAAACCAGCCCAACCTTCCTGTTCTGTCAGTGGTTTGTACAGGGTTAATTGCACAGCACTAAGCCTTCACCCCTCTATAGCTATTCTGGTCTGGTGC